TTTTTTTTTTTTTTCGGAACCGGGGATTGAACTCAGGCCCTTGTGCTTGCCAGGCAAGCACTTATTCTGCTGAGCCATCTCCCTGGCCTACAAGTAATTCTTAATCTCCATTTTTCTGACCACTGTTTATCAGATTATTCTTAGGTTGGCTTATTGTTACCATAGTTTTGTTGTTGTTATTATAGTGTTGAACCTAGAGCCTTGTACTGGTAGTGCTTTACCATTAAGTTGTATCCTTAGCCCTTTTTGATATTTATTTATTTATTTTTTGGCAGAATCAGGGATTGAACTCAGGCCCTTGTGCTTGCCAAGGAAGCGCTTATTTCACTGAGCCATCTCCCTGGCCCTTTTATTTATTTAAAAAAAATGTTTGTCTTTTAAAAAATCAAGCTAGCTAGCTATCTGGGATAACAGGTGTGTGCCACCACGCCTGCTCTCGGTGGCTGGCATGGCATGCGGTAACTGAGATTGAACCTGGGTCCTTGTACTTGATAGGCAGGTGCTTAGACTGCTGAGCTATCTTCCTTGCTCCCTTTTTGTTATTTTTAAAGCAGTCTGAATGTAGAGGTTTTTTTCCCCCAATTTTTTAAGAAAATTCTTTTTCTTGGTGTACTTTGATATGTATAATGATCACATTCGTCAGTGGGACTTTCTGCCTGCATGTAATATATCTTGGTTCTTCCTTTTCTCCCATTTACCCCTTCTCCCTCTCAACCTTTCTTCCTCTCCTTGTTTACCAAAACGGTTTCCCTGTTTTCCTTTTTGTTCTTTTTTTCCTTTTCCCTTCCATTCTTTCCCTGTTCCCCTTCCCATGTTCCCTTCCCATCTGAACGTTTTCTTCCTGCTTCCCACTATCTGTCATCCATTTTGGTCCTTACTTACATTTTTGATTTGTCAAGAACTGAAAAAGAAACAATGCAGGGGCTGAGGAGATGGCTTAGCAGCATAAGCTCCTGCCTGCCAAGCACAAGGTCCTGAGTTCAAGCCCCAGTAGTGGAAAAAAAGAAAAAAAAAAAAAAAAGAAACAAACAATGCAATATTTGAACATTTCTTTCACTTCAAAATGGGGTCTCAGGGTGCATGTGTACCTAAGTGAATAGAGTCTTGTCCTGAGCAAACACTATTGGAGATTTAGCATGTACTTCCCCCTATTTTATCTTTCCTATTAAAAAAAATTAATAGCAATTTAAAAATTATCTTTGTGGAACATATGAAACAATGTACTCAAGACTTAGGTAATGGCCACATAGTGCTGTTGCTAAAAATAAAAATGTACAGAAATCTGCTGATTGGTTCAAGCCACCCTGGACCAGAAGGACATAAAACAGGTTCATAGAACAGGAATATTTATTATTTTCAACCCAGTATATTAGATAATGAATTTTAAAGAAAATAATAACAGTGTTAAATTTCTTATAACCTGTTTATAGGCAAGCGCATGTCTACATAATCGCAGGAGCCTGTTTGTCTCTGGGTTTTCGATTTGCTGGCTCAGAAAACTTATCAGCATTTAACTGTTTGGTAAGAAGTATCTTGGTTTACATTGTTCTGTTTTCACCAAAGTCTTAAGGTGCATCTTTTAACTTTGGTATTTTTTTTCTTTTGTTTTTCCAGCATAAATTTGCAAAAGATTTTATGACTTATTTGTCTGCACCTAATGCTTCCATAGTAAGTCTTTTTATAATTCATCTTGTGAATAAAATAAAACGTGAAAATTCACTGATAACTCAGTTACTTCTATGTTATCAAACAACTCTGCTGTTTGACTTTAAAATGGGAGACCTGACACAGAAGCTTACTTTCTATTGTTGCTCTGGGATGTTAATGAAGTGGTAATGTGAGTCTTGAGGTATGTATGGCTGTCTGACTCTTTCTCTTAGAGAACAACTAAGAAAGGCTGTAACATTCGGGGATTGTCATACTTCATGTTGTTCTGTCTCAGTACTGAATGGCAGGAGTTTCCTTTAAAAGAAAAAGAAAAACTAATACTTAATGAAGATTCAGTTGCTCTTGAACCAGTGTGGCCTTGATGACAGGAAAGTTGTTAAGTGAAGCTATTTATAACATGGGAAATTAGAAAAAGTTCTCAAAGTCAAATAAGATTGATTATGGAATGTCCAAGCATCCTTACACATTTGGGTCCCTTGAAATTTTTGTTCACGAAGATTATAAGCTGTTTAAAAGGCCAGGGGGCCTGGCCCTAGCTCAGTCCTTTAAGTGGCTGCTTCCACAAAGCTGTCAGCCGCAGGTTGCTGGAGTTCGAACCTCACAACTCTCCCGCTGGCCAAAAGTGCCCTGAAGGCATTCGAGGAACCAAAAAAAAAAAAAAATAAATAAAAATAAAAGGCTAGAAATATTATGCATAGTATTTCCTCAGTTTCATTTGAAAAAAGGTGGATGTATAGGAAAAAAATAAGAGAAAAAGAAATCTAAAATGTTACTACTAGTTCTTATTGGGTAGTGGAATGCCAAGTGATTATTTTCTTCTTGATACTTGATTTTTTGAATTTTCCACACTGAACTATATATCTATTATAAGCAGGGAAAATGGTTGTTTTGATCGATATTTTTAACCCACAATCATAGGATGACTGATTTAGCTTTGGCACATGGAAATACAGCAGCAGTGACAGCGATGTCGTCTTTTCTGTTTCCAGACAGGTCCTTATAACCTGGAGACCTGCCTGAGTGTGGTGCTGCTGTCACTTGCCATGGTGATGGCTGGTTCGGGGAACCTGAAGGTGTTGCAGCTCTGTCGTTTCTTGCACATGAAAACAGGTGGTGAGATGAACTATGGTTTCCACTTGGCTCACCACATGGCCCTCGGACTTCTGTTTTTGGGAGGAGGAAGGTAAATGGATATGTGCTTCTTTTCCCTCAAGAAAATCATTTTGAGTGAGATCTCTAGAAGTAGCCTGGGTTTGCTTCTTCAAAAGCATGATTTTTCTGTTCTTAGTTCTTTGCATTTACATTCAAATATTGGAATTTGTCTTTTTCTATACCAAACACCCTGACAGAGTACTGATTGGAATCGGACTGATTCTGGACTTCCGTTTGAGGGGAATTTAAATGTGTCTCAGCAGTGAGTTCCTGTCCGTGAATGTGATGCATTCTCTCCCTAATTTAGCTCTGGCACACATGACTGGTCGGCTGCTCCAGCTTTGGCAAGTCATAGAGGCTTATGGCTCCCCTCAAACTGTTGGGGCTCACAATTCTAGAAATACAAAACAAAGGTATCAGGAAGGTGTGCATTTCTAAACATTTTTGTGGGATTATCTTTTTAAAATTGTTTAGAATTAAGAACAATTAAAGAAATATTACCAAAAACTCCATTAAGTGTTTCTGAACTTTTTTTTTCTTTTTGGTAAAACTCCTGTAAGTTATTAGTACTATCAATCATTTCATCATTCCCTGTGGTGTGACTCTCCCCATTCTTTTGTGTTGAATAGACTTTTTCCCACTCTGCTACTCCCTTTTCAGTGATTATCAGGTTTTTTTTTTTTTTAAATGTTTTTTTATTTTATTTGTGTGTGTGTGTGGCCAGCTCAGCCCACCAGGGGGCAGGGCTGGCTGGCATGTGGTGCTGGGGGTTTGAACCGCGGTCCCTGTGCTTTGCTAAGCTTGTTCTAAGTAGGTGCTTCAGACCACTGAGCCATCTCACCAGCCCCGATTATCAGGTTTTAAGTGGTTATGTTTCCACTCTGATGTCAGTTAAAGTTACAGTGCTTCCTGTACCATTATGCTTAATCCCCATTTCTAACATTGATGCCTTAGCATTCTTAGTTTTGATATATTAAAAGACAGAGAGAGAATGGTCTGTGCCAAAATAGATGCATTTCTTTGCTTAGATCTTAAAATTTCTTCTCAACTCATTAACTGAATGAATGTATATGCTGAGTGATAAATTCTTATTTATACTGTAGACCTTTATACTGAATTACCTGTTTACTTAAATTTATTAAGGAAATAGACTAATAAAATTTCAAAAGAAAGAGGAGATGACTCAGTGGAATAAGCGCTTCCCTGGCAAGTGCAAGGGCCTGAGTTCAATCCCTGGTTCCGCCAATAAATAAATAAATAAATAAAGGACTGGGGATGCCTTTAGGGTGAAGGCCCTGGACTCTACCCCCAGTGCCATACACATACAAAAAAAAACAAAACAAAGAAAATTTCAAAAGAATTTTTCAAAAGTGAGTATGACCTTTGTAGAAAGAAGTATCTTTTTTTCTTTTCAGTTTCTTGAGGCAAGGTCTTGCTATGTAGTTCAGACTGGCCTTGAACTCCCTATGTAGCCCAGGCTGGCCTTGAACTTGCAGCAAATTTCCTGCCTCAAGTGCTGGGATTATAGGTGTGTGTCACCAGGCCTGGTCTAAAAGTAACCTATTGATAAGAAAAAATGATTTAGAGACTTAATTGTTGTACATTTGTTATAACTTTTTAATGGTAACTTTTGCCTTTTCCATTTACTCCCATCATTCTTTTTTTTTGGTGGAACTGGGGATTGAACTCAGGCCCTTGCACTTGCCAGAGAAGCACTTATTTCACTGAGCCAGCTTTCCGGCCCCTACTCACATCATTCTAATGGAATAATCATGCTTTACAGAAACAGAAAAAAAAAAACACTTAGGACACTTAATAAAAGACCTTGTATTTTTAAGTCACAAACTGGAATAAGATTACATACTTCATGCAGGACTTTCGTTGTGTATAATTTCTAGGGTGTCTTCATGGTCCTCACTATTACCCTATTTTAGGTTAAAACCCTACTAATTTAGGAATTAAACTTTCAACAGTCATGGCATCGTCTTTCTGCTTAAAAAGCAGATGACCTGAAATGTCTCACTGTCGACACATCTGTACTTATCAGTGCCCCCATTTTCTGGTTCTAAAGAATGACTTGGAAGTACGCACAGCAGTAGTGACCCCTGCCTCCCACCTCTGCTCCACAGATACTCTCTGAGCACGTCGAACTCTTCCATCGCCGCTCTTCTCTGTGCCCTGTACCCACACTTCCCGGCTCACAGCACTGACAATCGGTGAGTCTGTGAGGTTTCTCGGGTTCTCCAAGGGGATAATCTGGTCATCATTTGGCTTTATGAACCCATTTCCAGGTTAGCATTTTAAACTGTTCTTGAACTTAGTTATCTTCCTGGAAAATCTTTGAAGTTTCTCTAAGATTGGAGGAGAGCTTTGCACTCTGATGCCTGACCTGTGTACACCATTCTGAAATCTGTGGAACTGCTCTGGGTTGAGAAGTAGGCCAAGTAGGGTTACCTCTAGGCTCAGATTTGCTGATGAAACGATAGTCATCAGAGGAAATTCAAGAAGATACCTTTTTCACTGTAATAATGCCAAGAGAAAAGTTCATCTGATTTAGTGGCAGTTTCTTTTTTACAAAGTTTTATAAAGTTTTCTTTTTTATAAAACATACTGAGATATTTTGTGTATGTGACATAGAAGAGCCGAGAAAAGCAAGGTGCAACAAAAACTCCCATGTACTGTAGAAGTGGCAGTGAGCGATTGGACCTCAACCCTTTAGAAGCACTCAGATAGTGTAGATGACCATGAAGTTTTATGGGGGAAGGAAAGAAAATAGCTCATCCTAAGTGATATCTCACCAACAGCGTGCTTAGTGGACGAACCTGGTTTTCTGCCCAGAGCAGGGTCAGCAGCACTCACGCTAGGAGGGAAGAACCTGAGTGCTGATTGCAGCAAGTAGGTGTCACTTAAACTGCAGTGTCCTGTGTATGTGGCGTGGAGGGAGGATGGCCCGATCTGGGGTAACAGGTGGAGCCTAAGTGCTCTTGTTAAATTACTTCATCCCTGACATGTGGCCTCAACGCCTGTCCATTAGCAAGAGTGTTTTTGAGTTGTTAGAGTCAGTTATGACCTAGGTAGAGCACTACACCTGTGTATTGCTGGCCCTAGTGTTAGTAGGTTTAGTTCAGTTTTGTTTGTTTTGGTCCCGGGTGTTGGACTCCAGACCTTGTGCTGTTTGTTTGTCTGTTTTTTGAGACAGGCTCTTGCTACGTAGTTCAGGCTGGTCTTGAACTCACTGTGCAGCTCAGGCTGGCCTCGAATTTTTGGTAATCCTCTTGTTTCAGCGTCTGGAGTGCTGGGGGTAGAGGTGCTTGCTGTCATACCTGGCCTGGTCTACTATTTCAACAAAGCAATGAGATGATTAATGTCAAGAATCTCCCTAGAATTTATAAACATTTTTTTTTTTTTTTTTTTTTTTTTTTACCTTTATTGATTTTACTTTTAGTAAGATTTATAAGAGTGGATAGACTTGGGTGGGAAGAGGGAGATTATTCTTTGTAACAATTTATTAAAAAAAATTGAAGTCTGACTTTTTTTTGTGGTACCGGGGATTGAACTCAGAACCCTGCGCTTGCCAGGCAGGCACTTTTCTGGCTTTATCTTTTATGGGATCAAAAATATAAAAACTTGTATGTTTACATTCTAAAATATAAATTTTAAAGTTTAAAAAGTTTTTTAAAGCTCAAAAGTCCACATATACATACATATACTATCATCTCACCCTATCAGTTTTTGTTACATAGTTTAGGGGCATGCATGTGGGTACTCAGGTGCATGGAGGTAAACCTAGAGGAGCTTTTCTGTGTGAACACAGCCCTTTCTCCTTCTCCTGTGGTCCACCCTTCAGAAAACCAAAACCAAAACCAAAACTTAAAGTACATTCCTGAGATGCCTGTATCCAGCAGAAGGTCTGATTTTATTAGCAGTCAACTGATTAGTAAAGTTTTTCACCTTAAGTTGCTTTTCACTTTCCTGTAAAACTTAAGAGAACTCAGGCAAAGAAACTCTTAATCAGAGGTCACAAAATACTTTTTAAAAGGATTTCTGCATTACCTTTTATTGAACCTGTGATCTTCAGGATTGCTGTTGACTTACAGCTACTGCTTTGGCTTCTGTTCTCTAGTGTCCTGTAGGAAATGCCAGGTTGCAAAGCTCACGCTCGCGTCAGCTGTTGTCACCTCCTCGCTGTATTTTTGTGCCCAGGTATCATCTCCAGGCTCTCCGTCACCTCTATGTCCTGGCTGCAGAACCGAGGCTCCTGGTGCCTGTGGATGTGGATACAAACACGCCATGCTATGCCCTCCTAGAAGTCACCTACAAGGTAACTCTTCTTGTCATTTTTTTTTTCCTGTCATTTTTTTGTAATTTTATTATCACTCAACTTTGCAGGTTGGAATATCTGTCTTGGTTACTTTTTTCTTGTCGAGACAAAATACCTGATGTACAAAATTAAGGAAGGAGAGGTTTATTTAGCTCACAGTTTGTGGAAGTTTCAGTCTATACTCAATTGGTTCTAAGGCAGAGTCGAACATGGTAGAAAAGTTCATAGAGGCTGGAAAACAACAAAAAAACCCAACAAGAACAAAAGGGAGGAGCAGAGAGAGCGAGTCTCTTTCCCTCGTATTGCATTCAGGCTACCAGCCCCTGGGCCAGTGCAGCACTCACACCCATAATCCCAGCATTGGACCATGAGTCAATCAAAAACTTTAGAATCCTGCCCCACAACTGTGTGAGGCTTTGTGGATTATTTCTTGGTCACTCCTCTCTCATTGCTGGGACAAATACCCAATACCCAAACTTAAGGAAGGAAAGGTGTACTTAGCTCACAGTTACTGGAGGTTTCAGTCATACTCGGCTGGCTCCAAGGCAGAGTGGCACATGGCAGAGAGCAAAGGGAGTGGCAGCAGCTCTGGCAGCTAGCTAGCTGCTCTCCCCTCCTTACCTGATAATGCAGAATATCTGCTCCAGGGCACTCACACCCATAATCCCAGCATTGGATCAAGAATCAGTCACAAATTCCAGAGGCCACCCCATGGCTGTATGAGGCTTTGGGGGGACAACTAGACACATACCATAATGGGGGCATCTAGACGCAAACCATAACAATATCTCAATAATATTGTCTAATATACTGTCATATACAGTTGAGTTCTTGAATAATCTGCTAGTGATACAGGGAGAAAAACTGATCTTGGGTGGGTGACCTCCAAAGATACAGGAAACCTCCAAATGACATAGGGAAAAGCGATCTGATCTGACCTGCACGAGTTCATGTTCTCTAAAACCAAAGAATGAATTTTAGGAACAATGCAGGTTATGAGCTGAATATATTTATTGAGATAAGGAAAGGTCCTTTCCAAAGAGAGAGAGAGAGTAGGGCTGGAGCCGGTAGTTTCCCAGAAGCTGTCTCTTGCAGGGACTTTTATAGTGTAAAACCATGCAGGACTAAGGTGGAGAGAATGGGAACTCGCTTAGGTGGATGTGGGGTGGGACAAAACTATGGTCAACCAATGGGATTACAAGCACCAATGCTCGGGTAAAGTTGATTACGCCCAGGACCAAATGGGGAAATGAGTCCCGGAGTAAGAGGGCATGAATATAGGATAGGGTCTCTTCCTGTTGGGGGTTGGGCTAGTGACTGACTTGGGCTCTTTCAAGATGATTGATACCTATTTAGAATATCAATCCTGGGTGTTAATCTTTCGGGAGGTTAGCGTGTGTTTGGCCTTTAGGTCTGGTTCACAGCAGGAGCATCCGCCCCTCCCACAGTTGTAAGGTATCTTGTCTTTTGTGTTATCTCCTTCGAGGGCCTGGCCCTGTCTGACTTGTCTATATTTTTATCTAACTCAGCTGCCTACAACACTAGGTCCTTGAGACTCATTTATAGTCTATGGGTATAATTATTTAGGCATCATCTGCTGTTCTTTTGTCTCTAAAGTTTATAATTTGAAAACATTCCTGGTAATTTTATATGGATCATAGTATCTAATACTGATAGTATTATATGGCTGATAGTGGTATTTTAAAACTAGTTTACTAGTTGAATTAAAACTTTTTTTTTTTTTTGGAAAGGCTCTATAGGGTGTTCAGGGTCTTACTACTAGATCAGACTAGTAGTGATCCACCTGTTTACAGACTCCCAAGAGCTGGTATTCCAGGTGCTTGCCACCACGCCCAGTCTATTGTCTTTCTTTCTTTCTTTTTTTTTTTTTTTTTTGTGTTACTGGGAATTGAACAGGCAGGCTTGCCAGGCAGGCCCTTATTCTACTGAGCTATCTCTCTAGCCCTAGTTAAAACTATTCTTAGATTTGTATTTGTTGAGAGATCTTTTATTTAGATATACAAATAGATCACTAGTCATGTATCCATCCTCCAGCAAACTGTGAAGTGCCCTTTGTGTATCAAAACTCTGCCAGCCTCAGGTACAAAAATGAGGTGACATTTTCATACTCCTTACGCAACTTCTGTACATTGGGAGCTAGGGGGAGAATGGAGTGTGAAACCTGGAAGTGTGGAGTGTGGAGTACTCCTAGAAGAGCCAGTGTCCAGCTCTGGGGCTGGGGCAGCTGTCATGGTAGACTCAGGGCTGAGAATTGCCAGGAGAGCAGGGCCTGTTCTCAGCAGAGAAGAAACGTGCATGCATCAGAGGCTGTGCAAGGGCAGCTCCCAGGACTGCTGGCCTGAGAAAGAACTTACTGGTGAGCCAGTTACTGGGTGATTTATGCCTCTGAACAATCTACAAACTGTGGGGGTGGGAAGGTGTGGAGTGTTATGGTTTCCGCTGACCACCTAGTAAACTGTGACTGTCCTTCACCTTTGTAAAGGGCACTCAGTGGTACGAACAAACCAAAGAAGAACTGATGGCTCCTACTCTTCTTCCAGAACTCCACCTTTTAAAGCAGGTAAGTTGGAGGGACTTAGGGAGGTCTGTCCAAGTCGTAAATTGAAGTGGAAGTATCACGACTTTAGACATTTAACGATAGCTGTGTGGAAGCCTCTGTTAGGTAGAAAACAGGAAAGCAACAGCAGGAGGAAAGTCAGGAGGAGGAGAGAAGGTCTTGTCCTGAAGATCCTTACTGAGATGTTGGGTGTGTTCAGAAAGGATTGACTTGATTTTTTGTCAAATGGATCTTGTTAACCTCTCTGCATCTCTTTCCAGCTGTTACTTCCTGTGAGAGGCCCGGGTTTCACTTTGTCAGGCTAATGTTTCAGTTTAGGGTTGACTGTGTTCACTTTTATCTTGGCAGATTAAAGTTAAAGGCCCAAGATACTGGGAACTGCTCATAGATTTAAGCAAGGGACCCCAACACTTGAAGTAAGTATTGACTTTCGCACATGTGCCTTCTATGAGGTTAATAGAAGTATCTGGGGAGGTATGAGTTATAATCATTTTTTTTTTAAATTTATTTATTTATTTGTGTGTGTGTATGTGTGTGTGTGTGTGTGTGTGTGTGTGTGTGGCCAGCTCAGCCCACCAGGGGGTGGGGGCTGGCTGGCATGTGGTGCTGGGGATTGAACCGTGGTCCCTGTGTTTTTGCTTAGCTTAGCTTGTTCTAAGTAGGTGCTTTAGACCACTGAGCCATCTCACCAGCCCCGAGTTATAATCATTGTCTAGAGGGCTGCTTGTCACTTGCTGGCCTCATTCACGATGGTGGTCAAGAGATGTAAATGAAAGTTTTAATTTGCAAATTAAATCCTAAATGTTTACCTTTATTCATTTAAGAATTTGAGCTGATATAATTTGAGACAGAAAATGAAATTGTCTGGTATAGAAATATAAGATCTGGTTTAAGAAGGTAGTGCTGGTGTGTATGTACATGATGGGACTTTATTATAACAACTGATGTCTTTAAACCACACCTTTTGTACACTATTCTTTTGTTAGAATGTTCTCATTTTAAGATTATAATAGATTGCTTTTACATTCAAATAGTCATATGAAAGTAATTAGTGTGTTAGTATGGTACCTTAGATAGTATGTAAATTTTACCTTTACATTTCTAGAAAGTTTAATGAGAATGTGAAAGTTTTTACAGTGTGGTTCCAATTTATAAGTGTTGCACACGCTGTATAATAGCTGATTTCTGTGTGATTCGGTCTTTAGATTCACAGCATTCTTTCTTTTCTGCTGCAGACCAGTTACTACATATTTATGTCTCTGTCCTACGCACAGTTCCCGGGACTGTAGGGAAAAGCAAACAGTGTTAGATAAATGCTCCTTTTGAAGCTCATATTGAGAAGGTAGTCAGAATATCTTGTCATTCAACACATACTGAGTCGGATATGAAAGAAAGGTGGAACATTATTTGAAGCTTTCTTGAAAGGGCTGGCTTAGTTTTATATAGGAGATAATCACATGCTTTAATGGAGAATAGCCAAGACTTTCTCTCCTGTATACATTGCAATATCGCTCTCGTATTTTCTCTTTCAGGTCCATTCTTTCTAAGGATGGTGTTTTATACGTTAAGCTCAGGGCAGGGCAGCTGTCCTACAAAGAGGATCCAATGGGGTGGCAAAGCTTGTTGGCCCAGACTGTTGCCAACAGGAACTCTGAAGCTCGGGCTTTCAAGGTAGGGTTGACTGGTGAAAAACTCAGAGGCAGTGATTGCAGGTCTCACTCGCTTCCTCTCTTACTGTTACAGGCTGTAAAGCCTGGTTGACCTTGGCTCCCTTTATGTGGCAGCATAACAAAGTAGGAACAGTCCGCCAGTGCTCTTAAGTAGGACTGATGTGTAAAGGGGAGAATGCTCACAATGTCTTAACGCTTCCAAAACAGCTAAGTCTTACTTATTCCTCTCAACTCAGTGAAAATTTGCTACTTTATAGCAAAAATAGAAAAACATTTTTGCAGTCCAGCACTTCATAACTTCCGGTTTAAACCATCAGTGAGTCTCTTGAGCTTGGTAAAGGTGGAGTGATGGATTGTTGGTTTACTATTTGCATCGTGTTTGTCAACATGGCAGTGAACAAAGTTTGTTCCTTTGAACTGAAATTTCTCACACTAAAAACTATGTTCTGTGATCTGGCATTAAAATTTCTGAATTTAAACTCAAGTTTGCTTGCTGAAGATGTCTCTGTAAAGCAGTCAGAATCCTAGGTACATGCAGTAGAGGTGTGGCAGAGGGACCCGTTGGGGCAGCCAGAGGACTGCTGTGGCTTCTTTATTCTAAGTAGGACACGGCTGTATATTGTAATTAATTCACATTCCATTTTAGGTCAGTTACTAATGGTCACACCTTTCTAATAGTTACAGAATTTAATCTATAAATATGCTCAGCGTTGACATCTGTGGATTTTGTTTGGCAGTTTTTAGTGGGTGTCTATAAAATACTTTTGAAGCATTTTTCAACAGAATTTAACTTAAGTTAGCAGTACTGCTTTTAAAGATGAAACCCCATCCCAAAGACTATTCTAGTTTGTAAAGAAGATAGATGACTTTAGACTTGCATGTGAAAAGGGAGGGCGAGTAAAAATTAGAAGGTGGCTGGGGCTGCGCTCGGTGGTGAGCTCTCGGCTGCCAGCATGGGCAAGGCCTTGGTGTCCCCTGAGCACCGAGCATTTTTATTTTTAATTAAAAATGAAAATATTGATTTCCTGTTTGTTGGGAGTTTGGAAATTAAAAGAAAACCTCAGTAGAAAATAGTAATATCTTCATATTCCATTTTTAGACTTGAACTTAAGTGGTATTCTGGAGTTTTTCTCCAAATTCTTTATTAGTAAAATACACATGATATAACATTTACTGTCTCCACTGATAGATACTGTCTCCATCAACACCATTGTGCAGCTATCAGTAGTTTCATCTCTAGAGCTATTGCATGTTATAGATCTAAAATTCTGTCCTCATTAAATGCTAACTTCCACTTTTTCTTTTCCTGGTGCCTAGAGGCTGCTGGGCTGCTTTCTTCCTTTATGATTTTGATTATTCCAAGGCCTCGTGTCTGTGGCCATATAGGCTGTTTGTCCTTTTGTGGTAGGCTTACTGAAGGACACTGCATTGTCCATAGTGTCCTTTAATAGCTGTATTTTCCAGAAGGTTTTTAGATAGTCTTTGAGGGAAGGAGAAAGTCTTTCTTGGATAAGCTGTATGAGAAAGAAGGCCTGTGTTTTATTGGCTCTTGATGACAGGCTCGTATAACCTAGCTGAGCAGGGGGTAGAGCTCTAGCAAGCTTATGCACTTTGGCTTGTGGGTGCATTTTATGGGAGGGGTCGCATTGCTTGGCTGGGCATGGCAGTTGGAGCAGGTCCATGAGTAGTCTTTTCTTACCTCACGTGCTTGTGCTTTGTGTTTTTTTTTTAGCCAGAAACAATTTCAGCATTCACTTCTGATCCAGCGCTTTTGTCATTTGCTGAGTATTTCTGCAAACCGACTGTGAACATGGGTCAGGTAAGTATGACCGATATTCCTCGTTTAATGACCCACTGTACTTCAACCTGTTGCTTGGACTTTTTTTGGTACAGTTGTATACATTTTTTAAAAATTATTTTTATTGAGAAAGAAATAACGAGCCAGTTTCAAAACAGGTTAGTAGAACAGTTACAATAATTAATACATTGCATATTGTCTTCATTGTAGTTATTCATAGTACAAGATGTAGACATGATATCTTGTCTAAACATATGCATCTTGTTTGTAGAACCTCTTTTTTTGTACTTTACAACTTGTTTGTAAGGTACTGTAATTTTTGCTGATTATATTGTATATTACTGTAGTTTTATGTTGCTATATATTATAGTACTGCATATAGGAGTTATGCAGCCATGTGCTGTGCTGGCTCCACCCCTGGGTGCACTGAGCTGGCGACACGACCGTAATCCCAGCACGCCTGTAATGCTGGCGCTGGAGGCCAAAAACGGGAGGATCGCTATAAGTCCGAGCTGCATAGTGAGACCTTTTACAAAATACATTAAAAAAAAAAAAAAAAGTTGTGCAAATAAAAGCAAAATCATCAAGCTGGAGTTTCTTTTCACCATTTCAAATATTGTAATGTACATACTATATACAGTTCCTTTTTTTTTTTTTTTTTGTATTTTAAGGAAGGGTCTACAGGGTGTCCAGGGTCTCACTACTAGATCAGACTCGTAGTGATCTGCCTGTTTACAACCTCCCAAGAGCTGGGATTACAGGCGTACAGTTCCTTCTTAACTGATCAGTTCACTTACAAACTTAGTTGTAGGAACAGAACTTGTTTTTATTTTATTTTATATTTCAAAAAAATTTTTTTTGGCATTGGGAATTGAACTCATGACCTGGCCCTTGCCAGGCATGGATGAGTTTTTTGCAAGTATACATTTCTATGGTTTAAAACTTAAGTTCAGTAACTTTCTACCTTCCTTCATAAGTGAAACAACTACAAATGTCAAAGACATTAGTTTTGGTGGATGGGAGGGAGTTTCTTGTTCTCATTATAGTGATTTATGCTTTCAGTGTTTACTGCCTTTATTGTTTTTACATAATTTTACCATTTTTGTTTTCTCTTTCTGTTGCAATCCTTTCAGTTGGTTGTACAATTGTTCTTGTTGGGGTTTGATCCACAGTACACACAGGGAGAGAATAGATACAGGAGGCATAATCTAGGATGAAAGCCTCTGTGTGTGGCTTTAGGAAAAATTCTCAACCTCTTCCTGTGGTACTTTCATCATTTCTAGAAATGAAATTATATAGTCTTCTTTACAGTGTTGTTTTGAGGGCTGAGTTAATAATCTTCCCTCTCCTATTGACCTTTTTAAAAATATATTTAGTATAGGGTCTACAGGGTCTCACTACACAGATGGAATTTGTAGTGATCCTCCTGTTTTCAGCCTCCTAAGTGCTGGGATTACAGGCTTGTGCCACCGTGCCCGGTCTCTGTCTCAGGGTGCCCCAGGGGCAGGGCTGGCACGGCATGCCAGGGATTGAACTCAGGATGGAACCTGGTCCCTGAGCCTGCCTAAGCAGTGCACTGAGCTCTCCTGTTGTTTCTTCACGATAAGAGTTACACTTTGCTCAGTGCTGTCTGTCATTCTCTCACTTAATTTTGATAGTGTGGTTTGGAGCTTTATTATTCCAGATTTACAGACGAGGAACTGCCACTCGGAGATGTCACATGCTGGGCCCACAGGCTAGCGAGGGGTACAGCACACACTCGAGGCCACAGGCCTGTGATAAAGCTGTGCCTGTCCTTTTTACCTGGACTTGTTTTGGATTTGTGGGTGCTGTGCTCCCTTTTCAGGCCCTGCTTTTGGTAACCTGACCTGAGACAGCTCTGGGCTTTCCTATTGGTTCATTTTATTCATTCCTGTCACAGCACTTACTGTCCTTAATTATCCCTTGGGATTGAAGTTTTATTGTTTTTAATCTTTAACGTTGCATGTGGTATGAATTTGTTTTCAGTGAGATTACTGGCAGGCATGGTGGTGCATGCCTGTAATCCCAGCACTAGGGAAGCTGAGGCAGAATGGCTGTGAGTTTGAGGACAGCCTGAATTATACAGCAAGACCCTGTCTCAAAAACAAACAAAAAAGAGATGACTGTTTTATATCACTCACTGCTTGTTATACACTTATTTCTTGAATTCATTTTGGAATCTGCTTTGATGCGCTATGAAATGCTTCCAATTTTCCACAGAAACAGGAAATTCTGGATCTGTTTTCTTCAGTACTCTATGAATGTGTCACTCAGGAGACCCCGGAGATGCTGCCTGCGTACATAGCAATGGATCAGGTATGATTCCAAAACCCTGTTCTAATTCTGACGAGATTGATCCTGAGTTTCAAATGACCTGATTTTTAGTTTCTTCTTTGCTTTTTGAAATCTTAAATGGGACACTCTGTCCCAGTTGGAAGATCTAGATGTCTCCATACCGACTCTCTGCCTCCCCCGTCTAGGGGGAGCAGCATAGTCCCTCTCCCCTGAGTGGTCACTTGCCCCTCTCCTGGCAAAGTGCCTTCCTGGAACGGTTGCAGAAGGATCAAACCGGTTTATTCACTTTGGGTTGGTAGTAATAGGCACAGCTTTTTTTTTTTTTTTTTTGCTCTGAATGCCTTCAGGGCAGGTTTGGCTGGCTTGAGTTCTGGGGATCGAACCACAGCAACCTGAGCCTGACTGCTTTGTGGAAGCAGCCACTTAAAGAACTGAGCTAAGGGGCAGGCCCCCAGGCTTTTTTAATAGTATTGTATCTTTGCAACCCACATTTTCACTTAAGCAAAGGCAGTTTTCTAAACCTGCCTCAGATTTATCTGGGGAACCTTAAAATATTGGTTCTCAAATAAAACTTCCCAGCTGATCAACCAGAATTTCTGAGGCAAGATACAGGTTCTGTAGTTTTAAACATCTCAGCAAGTGAAAGTGATAGGCGTTTAAGATCAGCATTTGGAACTACATATTTAAAGCCAAAGAAATAATATGTAATTGTAAAATATATTATTTCTTTGGGGGTGACTCCCTTAAACCTAACATCATGTGGTGTTATGTAGCATTCTTAATTGGAAGAATTAACAATTGCCCAGTATGAGCAAGTGGGTCTAGAATGCAGTTTTTGTCCGGAACAGCAGGAAAGTCTCAACCTGCTATCCATCCCAGCGGGACAGTCTCAGTCTGCTATCTGTGCTGGCACTGCTCCTCGCAAACCACGTATGGGCTTTGCAGTTCCCCGTGAGAGTTCCTGACTTTGCCGCCTGCACCCCGGCCCTTTGCAGTCATGGCATGTCTCTGGGCGGACACTCCCCAGTTGCATCCTTGATCACTTCGTGGATAGTTGTCAAGAGCAACAGGATCAGTGTTGTTTGCCTTCTGCCCCCAGATGCTGTCCTGATTCCTACACGTCACCTGCCCTGCCTGAGTTTCCCAGAGGTGGCTGTCTGTAAGCCTGTGTGGTGCTGATTGTTCATATTGATCTGTTGCGCATCTTAAGAACGAGCTCATTTGCCTGAAAGCCACTTGTGTGTGGTTGTATTAAAGGAAGTGAGCCGTGCACTTGCACTGGGAAGGGCTTCTCTGCGTGGCAGATGGCTCCTGTGCAGGGGGAATCCCCAGACCCCTTGTTGGTCTTCCTTATGCAACAGCAAGCCATAACCCTTTCACTAAGCGGATTGCTGTCCTTCCTCCTCCAGGCTATAAGAAGACTTGGAAGAAGAGAAATGTCTGAAACATCTGAACTGTGGCAGATAAAGTTGGTATTAGAGTTTTTTAGCTCCCGAAGTCATCAGGAGCGGCTGCAGAACCACCCCAAGCGAGGGCTCTTCATGAATTCTGAGTTCCTCCCTGTGGTGAAGTGCACCATCGACAACACCCTGGACCAGTGGCTGCAAGGTACGGGCGTTGTGCCTGTGGGTTTTCAGAGTGTACTGGGTCAGGAGGCGCTGTTTTCAGATTTAATTGGTAAGGAAGAGGAATCAAGTATTAGCCAGAATGACTGCAGATTTAGTGTTTCCAGTGAGATGAATTAGACTCTGATGAGCTACTTAAGCATCTTTTTTTTTTTTTTTCAAGCATCCAACTCAACTTTAGAGAAGCATCCAACTCAACTTTAGAGAGAATCACTTGACTTTAGGACCTTGTTTTTTTTTTTTTTTTTTTTTTTTCTTGGCGGAACCAGGGATTGAACTCAGACCCTTACTCTTGCCAGGGAAGCGTTTATTCCACTGAGCCATCTCCCCGGCCCTAGGACCCTGTTTTATCTTCTATCCCATCAAATTGCGTTGCTTTTCCGTGCCTTTGTCTTCTGGGTGTGGCTGTCTGCACCAAGCCCGACAGATGCTTTCTTTGTTTCCTGTTTCTTCTGTTCCTACCAGGCCTCACACTTGCCAGGGCCTTCCAAGCCAGTGCTTTCCCCAGCCCGGAGTCTGTCTTGAGGCCCTCAGACATGCAGCGCAGCTTCTGCCAGTATTGCTGCCTTCTGATCCTGAGGGCAGTGTTCATCTGCTCCTAACTCGTCCAAGTATTCTACTCAAGGGGGCAGTGAGGGGCCTTCTGTGTCTGGGGATGTAGTTTTACACATGTCTAGCGTAGATTTCTGTAGTTGCCTCTTGATTTTTGCATTCTCAGTTCATGCAGAGTAACCTGCTTTGGATAAATACAAATCTTAATAGTATCATTAGTAGGAATTATCGATTGACTTACTAAGCCATTAATAATCAGTAACACCTAAACATTTAAATATAATTCAACTAGAAACTACTTCCTTGTAAATACTAGGAAATAAACTGGAAAACAATTGAATTGTGAACCAGACTGTAGGAGTTGTACATGGAAAGCAGCAATTTCAGACCTAACAGCAGTGTCTAATTGGTCCTTTTCTCTTGGCATTTGAAAAGATCACGTATTTTGATTTTTTTGTTGTTTTTTTGTTTTGGTGCCGAGGACTGAACCCAGGGCTTCCAGCTTGCTAGGCAAGCATTCTACCACTGAGCCATATCCCCAGCCCCAAGATCATGTATTTTGTGACTGTTTTGCTAGTCAACTTGATTCTCCCTTTTTTTTTCTTCTTTTGGCAGAGCTGGGAATTGCACTCAGGCCCTTGTGCTTGCCACGGAAGTGCTTATTCCACTGAGCCATCTCCTTGGCTCCTTTATTCTCATTTTTAGAGAACAAATTTTATTTAATTGACTTTGGTTCTTTTTCTTCAGTTCTGCCTTTGCTCACCCCAGCAAAGCTTTGCTGTGGGAGAGGACTGTGTCCTGGGGTCTTTGCAGTCTGGTGCGGGCCTTGAGGCAGAGGCTCAGAATCACGCAGTTTCCCTGCCTGGCATCTTGTGGTTGGCCATTTGTGGATTCCAATAGACTGCGCATCTGCACTGAATTTGACTTGCCAATCTGATTTACCAAAAATGTGTTGAGTTTTAGTGAGAAAACACTTTTTGAAAAAACTCTTTTAAGTAAGTGGTCACCACTCTCACAAGCACTGGCTACTGGCTTTGGCATGGGGGTGGAGAGCCTGCATATCCACATCAGAAAATGCTGGGTGTATTTTACCTCAGCGAAAATCTCAAATGCCCCAGTGGACCTTTTGGTCCACTGACCCAGACTACACTTCTCAACTCTGACATCGCAGCAGATTTATCATGGTATGTAGATGTTGTATGCATCTGTCTCCTCAGTAATTCTGGGCATAGAAAGTAGGTTTTAAGTTCAAGAACTTTAAAATGTTTTACTAACTTTTTAGTTTTATATAAAATGTAGCACAGATGCAAAGAAAAAGTGCTGATGAACGAGCTTCAGTAGTTTCCAACATTCTGCCATGCATAATCCACCTGGCTCTTAACCCATTGCAGCTCTCTATTATTTTTCAAATTTTACCATTTTGCTTGGCCATCACTGGTGGGATACAGTGCTGTTTTGACAATGCCAGGTGTGGCACATATCTGTACCCAGCACTTGTAGGTTGAGGCAGGAGAATCGCAGGTTTGAGCCCAGCTTCGGCAACCTCAGACTATCTGAAAATGAAAAATAGGAAGGGTTGGGATTGTAGCTCAGAGATAGAGTACCCCTGAGATCGGTCTGTAGGAGGTAGGAGGCGTGGGGCTAGGAGGCAAGGAAAGTCAGTGAGCTACTGTGTTCTCCTTCAGAATCAGCTACTCATTGAGGATTCTCTTCCTGCCTCCTTTCATCTCGCCCCTCTTCTGCCTTCCCAACCCCTGATGCTTTCCTCTTCCCATAGACTAGTGTCTGTTCTGACCATTCTGTCTCAGTCAGCTTCACTAGTTTTTTCCTTGGCCCTCTGGGTGTCATCCTTCATTTCCTTCTCCCCTCCTATAATAGCCAGTCCATACTGTAGTTGCCAGTCTAAGTCGAATATTTCTTAAACATGTCCACATTTTATGACTTGTGTGTGGAACAAAACTACTATTATGTTCCTCCTTGCTTTTTATTCTTATCCCTTCTCTAATATCTCTGGTCAAGTGACAGGGTGATTTTTTAAAGAATCAGTTGATCTGACCACCCTGGCATAAACCTTTTCAAAAGCTTTTGACTCACTTGTGTATAAAACTTCTCGTGTGGCCCTAGCATGGGCATGAAGTGCCAGACATTCTTTCCTCTCTGCCTCCTGTGGTCCTTCATCTCCATGCTGACCACATGGCCCTGCCAGTTCCCCAAAGCTTTGAGCTGTCAGACTCCTCTGTGAGCTCATCCTCATCCTCGCAGCCTTTGTTTACAGGTCCCTTCTCAGAGGTTGCCAAGGCTTTCAACTCTAGGCAGCTTTCTCATCACCCTTGTCTCTCAGATTATTTTTCTGTTTCAAATGCCTGTGTCTGCCAGCGGTAGAAGTCTGACAAAACAAGCTTCTGTCATGGGTAAGGCAGGCCAGAGGGGCTCCTTTCTCCTGTGGCTCCCCCTCCATGTCTCTGAGGCTCAGTTACACTGTGCCAAGGCTGTTCCTCAGCCCAAGCTCTGTGTGGTGCTCAGAGGAAGATGGAGTTGTTTCCAGAGTCTGTGATACAGGAATGAGGACATTTTCTTTCTAGGAGCAAACAGGGCATCAAACTTTTCCTTCCTCTTTAGCCCGAGTTGTGTCTTGTGTACGCTTCTCGATCCGTTCCTGTGATAGTCTTGGGCTGGAGGTTTAGGTCTGCCTGTCCTGTCCTGGGCTAGGACTTGTGTCAGGAGCAGCAGGATTGCTCTGACTGCCCCAGGCTGGTGCTTCTCTAAGTTCGTGGAGCAACAGCATAGTGCTGGAGAATTGTTAGAAATGCAGCTTTTCTGGCTCTCCCCCAGGTCCACCTAATCGGCAACCCTGGACTGTGACCACCAGCTTGTGTCATCACCGGCCCTGCAGAGGGTTGTGATTCACATTTAATCCTGAGAACTTCTGCTAAGACTAACCTGGCCCCAAACCTGGGACCAAAGGCAGATGTCCCCCAGTGGAGGGAAGGGTAGCTCAGCTGGTGTCTGGGGAGACTGCTTTCCGCTACACCACCGTGCTGCTTGTAGCTACACACTCCTGTGGTTACTTGGTTATGAGCCCTCTCCACAGCGCTCTCGCCCCTGCAGTGACCAGGCTCACTCCATGCATACAGTAGCCACAGCGCCCAGTGTCATGCCCACCTGGTGCAGACTAAGTGCCCAGTAAGTCCCTGATGAAAGAGTACAGAAAGGAGGCGTCCCAGAGCCTTGCAGTCCTATCTATCCTCCCTGGTTCAACTCCTTCCATCTCTGTTCCTTGCAGCTGGGGGAGACCAGTGTGTGCACTCCTACCTCAGTGGGCAGCTCTGCGAGGACTCGCAGCTGAGCATGCTGGCCTGCTTCCTTGTCTACCACTCGGTGCCTGCCCCGCGGCACCTACTGCCCCTCGGACTGGAAGGTAAGGCCGTCCAGGTCCTCCTTCAGGGCCTGTCTTACGAGTCTGTGTGCTCCATTTTCTTGCAGGAAGAATTTCTAAAGTTACTTTCTCTAGTGAGGCTTTTATTTTTATTTTTTTAATTTTTTATTTTTTTAATATTTATTTATTTATTTATTTATTTATTGTGTGTGTGGCCAGCTCAGCCCACCAGGGGGCGGGGCTGGCTGGCATGTGGTGCTGGGGGATTGGTCCCTGTGTTTTGCTTAGCTTAGCTTGTTCTAAGTAGGTGCTTTAGACCACCAAGCCATCTCACCAGCCCCTCTAGTGAGGCTTTTAGATTTACTTGTGCTTCTGTGTCACTGTTGAGAAATTATTCTGGAAAAAAATTTTTTTTTATATATGCATGAGCTTTTGTCTGTGTTCAGAAAAAAATGAATTCTTCACAGAGCTGTAAAGCCAGTCTATATTAGTAAACTAAATATTCATATTAATTGACTGTATTGACTTTTTATTTTATTTTTTGTTTTTTTAAATCACATATAGTCTTAATTTTCATAAAATTTTTCAGTTAACAGCTCCCTAACTTTGTGTTTAATTTTTTTCATAATAGAGCATAAGAAAATTAACTTTAGCACTTACTGTGTAGAATATGGAAACTGATACACAGTTTATCCAGTACAATGAATCTGAAATATCTGTGTTTATTTATATCACATTCACAATGCTGTTCATTAATGAATCGAGTGATTTGTT